GTGGATCAAATATTTCACGTTATTTTGTTTTTCCTTCCGCGACGGAGGAAGATACAGAACGGTAGAGAAAAAATGATGACTCGTTTTAATAAAATTTATTGCCAGTAGAACGATCCAGCCCAATCAATTTTCCAATTTAAGCGATATATTCCTGCGAGTTACCGATTTAAATGACTTTTTTAAAAAAGACGCAACGCAATCAGTTTAATGATTTGGCAATGGCAGCCGTATAATGATTGGCATCAACAAGAGTGCTGATTCACACAAAATTACAATTACAAAATTATGTTACAAAACATTTGTTGTGAATAAAACATAAGGTGCTCACAAAAAGATTATATCCTGTGTTGCAATGTTTTGTTAAATAAAACAGCTGAAAGTAAATTGACATCATACGGAAAAAATAAAGTAGAATTTTAAAGTTAACGTCTAAGCTTTTACCCAGATAGCTTGCTCGCAGGTACTAAACTAAACTTTTTCAAAAGCTATTCCTTTTTTAACTTTCGTATTTTCCCTCTGTGAATCCTGCTGAACTTTCAGGCGTGTTCTATGACACCGATAATCAACAGGAAAAATAAATAACGTTAGTCCACTCACACGAAGATCATTCAAAACAAAACCACGCGAAAAAACATCAGCGATTTCCACGTTATATTCTTTCGTGAAGTTATGTAAAAAATTTTCCTTCTAGATCTCGGTGTTGATCGCATAAGCCAAACTCGCTCGGTTTGTCGAAGTATTAAGTCATTTAATAATAATAATAATAATATTCTAAAAATTGAAAAGAAATAACTTTTTATGGACAACAAATTAACTATTAAAACCTATTTACAATTCATTTCGATTAAAAACTATTTTCACGCACAATTTGTTTTTTCAGAAAAAAAAGTCATCAACAGCTACAATGATATTCTTAATTGTAATAAAACAACATATACTGATGATCGTATATTCCATCTAAAAAATGGAAATGAAATAGCGATCTCAATATTTTAGTGAAAATTCAGGCGACCAGTCCTTTTTGAATTTCTTGGTCAGCGATAAGGTTGAACATTACAGTGATCGGTTA